TGGAGAGTGAGGGAGAGAGAGAGAGGGAGAGAGAGGGAGAGAGAGAGAGGGAGAGGGAGAGAGAGAGAGGGAGAGAGAGATGGCAGTACTTTGAATGTAATGTTAACCTCAATCTCACCTTTGTAAAATAATATATAATGGCATAAGCAAAAACATAATAGCTAGGGGACCCTGAGATGAAGTATGACCTCCACCACCAATGATAGTTCTAAAAATAAATAAAATAAATAATAAATAAAAATAAATAATAATAAAATACACTGTGGGAGTAGGAGAGGGTTGGCCTACCTCAGCACAAAGCTGGAAGTACGTCATAGCAATGGCCACTTCAGCACAGGCGATGATTAGAATGACAAACACAAGATAAAGAAAACCAAATAAGTAATAAAACTGATTCTCCCAGATAGCCTAAAAATAATACATGATTTGGTAAAATGGTATATTATAAAGAATCAAGATACATTCTTCGATGAAACACGTACCCTAGTTATGAGCAACTTTAAAAATTTCTTTAAAATCCAACTTTGATCGGAATCAGCTCAAAATTGATAGTCAGTGTAAAAACGTAAAAATTATACCAAAGGAGATATCTCTACTAGCAATTTTGATGAAATTTGGCTGAAAACAATTCTAGCCATTGCTTTTTCTAAATTAGCTCGTTTTTAAAATGCTCATAACTCAAAAATTATATGTCAGAAACAGCTCAAACTTTCTACAAACATGTAGCATAAGGACATCGATATAAAAAACATTTATGTCAAAAAATGAAACAAATATTGGGGTGACTTTTTTGAAAACAAGAAAAGACTATAATCCATGGTCTTTGGCCCCATTTTGGAGCAACTTGAAAAATTGGTGAAAAATCCAATTTTGATCAAAATCACCTCAAATTTTCTTTACAAAACATAAAAAAACATGTACATACATGAACGTATCAGGAAAAAACTAAATGCACGCCTAACCATTTTGGGAAAATACCCTGTACTGTACACTATAGTTGACCAGACTTTGGAGCAAACAACCATCAAATACTTGTACTTGTACTCATTCCACTCACTGAAAGTATAAAGAATAGCTCCACAAAGATGGCCCCAAATGGAAGGATTCCAGCGACAGTTGAGCTAAGGAAAGGACTGAGATACCAGGGCTGGTCGGGGATCTGTCGGGGGATCTGATTGGTCCGGACCGGGTGCTCGTAAGGCTGCTTGCGATATCCGAAATAAAACCCGATAAAAACAAGAGGGAAGGAAATACCAAACCAGAGGAAGAGGAGAGCAATCATTGTCGTGAATGGAACCTGGTGAGAGGACACATGGTGTAAAAAATTAGAAATTAAAAAAAGAAATTTTGCATGTATGATCATTGTTAGATCTAGAAATAAATTTTGGAAGACCAATAATCTAACTAAAAATGGAAAACACCCCTTCTAGATCCAACAGTGAATTAATAATTATGTTCCTTACCGCTCCAGATGAATGCTTGCCCCAAATGAAGAAGTTCAATAGAAATCCAATACCAAAAATAACAGAAGGATACAGCACTGCAGTCTATCAAAATGAAGTTTAGTATATCTCAGCATACCTTAGTAAATCCCAGTAAATTAGCATTACAAATTATGCAGGTACATGAATGCAGTTATTAATTTTTAATTTGTTTTAAACTCACCAAAGTGGCCGCCATCTTCCACTCATTTCCTTTAAGTG